CACACACACACACACACACACACACACACACACACACACACACACTGTCCATTTGAAGAAGGTGCAACAAGCCATGTGCTAAATTGTGGCTTTTTTTTAAAATCTCCAAACCGTGATTTATAATGAAAAGTACATTTTTTAGAGATATAAAAGAATCAAAGGGCAGGAAACATAAAAAAATAATAACAAAAATAAAAGCTGTGCGCACAGTGCCAGATTTGCTGAGGGTATAAACAGTTAGGAAGCGAGTGTTGCTCATGCTTTGTGGATACAGAACCCAAGTTTTTCTGACATGTTTTCCTAGGACTACTGTATATATGCATACCAGACGTTATACGGTTCTTTAACAGGTTATTTGTGTCAAAACAAACGATAATAGGAACTGAAACCAACTCTACCATTAATGCAGCTGTACTTCATTAACCTCTGACTAAAATTTACATTCAGTTTTTTTTTAAGTTTCACTCCCCCTTTCACCCCGAAACTGAAGCCACTTCCATCAGGTATAAGGGCTAAACAACATAAACAACAATAGTTTAACAAAACAAACATATATAAAGATAATATTACACGTAACAAAAACACACACGCAAAAAAAGGCCCCGAGAGGGCATCTGGAAAGTTTCAGCCCAAATGCTTTGCTAAGCTCAGCCTTTTTCCTATGACGGTAAAGATCGGACTTTTCTCAGGCGTAGTTTTTGTTGGTTTGCCCGCCCCCCCACGGCGTCGCTCACTTGTTGGTTCCTGTTGATTCAGAGTCCCAACAGTTTGTGTGTCCATATATTTACCTTCCTATCCATAAATACCCTGATTCTCTCATTTTTTATTATTATTATTTTCYTTTTTGCTGTTGCCTTATGTTCTCCCTGGCTTAGAAAATGGGGGGCCTTTTCTCTAAGAGGAAGAAAGCTACACAAGATGAAGGCTGACTGGTTTTTATGCTTTTGTGTTTTGAACTAGTTGAAGGAAATGAGATGAAACATGGAAGTGCAACGGTTTACCAGCCTTTCACTCTTACCCAGTGGCCAGCTACATTTGTCCAAAGCAGCTACATGTGTCCCCTTTTAGTGACCACTACCTCTTCTATTTTGTGCACAGAAAATATAAACTATTGTGAACGCTTTTACAGATCCTACAGTCACATCTCRCCCACTTGATCTGTCATCGTCACGCGCTCACGTCCAGCCACAGTTTTTGACTTATTAATGATCTGGATATGAGAAGAAAAAAAAATCACCTCTAAAAAGCACTTCTACACATACAGTAGCTATTCCGACTAGAGTGGGAATGCTGTGTGTGTCTCACACGGAATGATCTAGATTCATACGAAYGCATTCACACACACACATATGCAGCGATACCTGCCGAAGCCAAACACCGCATGCACACATCCCTACATACGTGTGCACGTACATGCTCATTTATAGCTCTCGTAACAGCAGGAGGGAAAATAAAAAAAATATTTAAAAAAACTTGCGTTCTGGCTCGATCGCTCTAAAATACACACAGCGGTGTATTTCCTCTACTTGATCTCCCATCAGAGTCAACGTAAGCCTTCCCTGAAGAGCGTTTATCCTCGTTACGCCGTGCTTATAAAGGGAAGTAGACCGGACAAATTTTTCACACGACACACCCTGTTAGCAGTCCTTATATTATAGATGTTATAATGAGTCAGAGAGGAAGATTCATCGAGCTGGAGAGCAGTAACATTACAAAGAAGAGCCAGAGTAAAGGCTGGGGGAGATCTGATACGTCGTTAGGATTATTGGGCTCTCGTCCTTCGGCTCTAAACTGGCTCCTGTAATGCTCTGGTCTCTGGAGTAAGAGAGAGTCGGGGGTTAATGTGCAAATGTACCAAGGGTGGGAGCGTGGACCACGCCCCAYATTTCTCGCTCACAGCCGCTGTCCGCCCCTCCTGGAGCTTCCATGTCCTACTGCTTGCTGCCGCCGCCGTCTCGATGTTTTTTGCCGCCGGTGCCGCCGCTCCCGTAGAGTCCCGGGTTTGCCACGATAGGTGGGGGGACGGCACCCATGTAGGGTCCGGCGGTGGCGGCGTAGTTGAAGATGGCGGGGAGGAAGGGCAGAGGCTCCACCTTGTCCCCTCCGGGCGCCATCATGTTCAGGGCGACGGGGAGCGCTGCCAGGTTGTAAGGGTAGGCTAAGAGCTGGGGGCCGTAGAGGAGCTGGTAAGGGTCCGGGTAGAACGGCAGCTTGGCCAGGTCGCCGCCGCTCGGCACAATCACCTTCCCCAGGGGGCCGAAGGGGAGCGCTCCGGGTGGGTAGGAGGACAGGAGCAGGTTCTCCTCCTGCTTCTTAGCGGAGCGGTAGCTGTCCGGCACAGTGAGGGGGAGTGGATAATCCTGGGCAGGGTAGCCCGCCGGGGGGGTGTCCTCCGGATGTGAATCTCTGGAAGAAACGGCGTCCAGGTGGTCCGGCTCAGGCGCCCGGGGAAGAAGCAGAGCGTGTGCAGAGGGGCGGTCACCGGCGCCGGCTGCTCCGGTGGGCAGCGTGAGCCGGTCCAGTCCCTGTGAGCTGGAACGGATCGGCCGGCCGGCTTGAACCATGGGTCCGATAGCTGAGGGGGACCGGCAGGKGGGTTTGGGAGTGTGTCTGTGTGTAGGGGGCCCGTTCATAGTGGTCTGTAGGGGGACATGTTGGGGAGACGGCACAGGGCTCAAGGGCTCCTTTTTGGGAACCAGGAGTGCAGTTTGGTCCTGCAGATGGTGAGAAACTCGACAGACTTTCTGGGCCCTCTCCATCTCTTTCTCTCGTTCCTTCTCAATGTCTCTGCTCCTCCCCCGTTCCCTCTGCCTCTCCACCTCCCTCTCGCTCTCCTTCTGCCTCTCCACCTCCCTCTCTCTCTCCCTCTGCCTCTCCACCTCCCTCTCTCTCTCCCTCTGCCTCTCCAGCTCTCTCTCTCGAGCTAAAATCGAGGACATGGTCAGGTCTTGTGCTTCGTTGGGGGACGGGCTCCGGGACGGAGGCTGCAGCCTGAGGTCCCGGACCAGGGGCGAGTCCTCGTAACTCGCACGCATAACTGCACCGCTCCCCGCTTGTCTCTCCCTGTCAATAATGACCCCATCCCGTCTCACGAGTCCCGCCTCGGAGACGGGAGGAGCAGCCGCGATCATTCTGGTCTGCGATGTGACAGGTGCACTTGGGGAGGCGCTGGCGGACGCGGTGAAGTGCAAAGGGCTGGGCGTCCTGTAGATCTGGCTGTCCAGGCTCTTCCTGCCGGGCGTGCGGTAGTCGAGGCAGCTGGGTCCATTCAGGACCAGCACGCTCTGTGTGGGGGAGGGCGTGGCAGGCCTGAGTTCAGGCATAGAGGGCACGAGGTTCACTGCACTTTCTAACGTCGGCTCTGCAGTTTGTGGTCTGGAGTTGCTCTCGGGGAGTTGTAGTTTTTCACTGGGATCCGACTTCAGATAGTCGTCTGTAAGTTCTCTTAGATGGTCCTCCGGCTGCCCCCCACTGGGTGGATCTGGTGCTGAATAGCTGATAACTGAAACAGAGAGAGCGCTGGGGGGTTGTTCCTGATTGCCCTCTGGATCTGTGCAAAGAGAGTCAGTAAATGTGTGTGGCGGGGGTTGTGGCTCTGAGCTGATTTCCTCTTTCTCTCTCTCCGGAGAACTACTCAACTCGTGACGTCGGACGTGGCGATTCAATGCCGAGGACGTCTTGCAGACCTTGTGGCACTGTAGGCAGGTGTGACGTGATAATGCTCTCCTGCCGATGCGACTTGGACTAGAGCTGCTCCCCGATAAGCCCATTTGCGCCCCCTTGTCCTCGTTGTATTTTGATATTTCTGGCACTGATTTGTTCACGACCCCTACAGCTGCTTCGACACATTTTGAGGGTGCGGAGGGCGCCTCGCTAGGCTTGGGGTGCTGGACTCTCTGGTGATCCTCCAGCTTGTCCCTTGAGGGGAACGTGGCTCGACAGAAGAGGCAAACGAACTCCAGCAGATGGCTCAACTCATGCTTGTCTCGCTTCCTGGGACTTGAGAACCAGCGGCCACATGTGGCGCACTCTGCAGCGTTCCCGTTGGTCCAAGGCCGCCTCTTTATTCCTGCAGGAGCCGCTGAGGGAGACAGGGGAGGCTTTGGAGAGGGAACAGGAGGGGTGGGAACCTCGTGACGAGCCTCTTCTTCTGCATCCGTTTGTTTCTCCTTTGAAGGAGAGGAGTGATTATCGGTCTCGTTTCTCTCCTCCATRTCCTCGTTGGGCCTCGACAGTTTCTCGGCCTCCTCAGCCGTCCCATCATCGTCCTCATCTTGTGATTTCTCCGTTTGTTTATTCATTAGCCTTTTGAGTCTCTCTGCCCTCCTCTTCAGTCGGATGGAGCGTTTGTATTTAAGCTTTCGTTGCCAGCTCTTCACTCTCTGCAGATGTGCTTGAGCCTTTCTCTTCGGCTTGTAGGAGTAGTAGGGTCGCCACAAGTTGTCCTCCATGTCGTTGTCACTGTCCTGCTCACGTACCCCCTTACGGAAGTAGTACTCCCTCACATGATCCGGGGATTTGGAGCTCTCTCTCCTGCCCTCCTCCTCCCCCTCCCCCTCACAATCTCCTGCTTCCTCGTTGCCCTCTGTTGCCAGGGCAGCCCTGCTCTGGAGGCGGTGCTTGTGGTGATGGTGGTGCGTCTCCTTTGCCGATGATGTTTCACTCCGTTTGATTTTGGGCGGGGACAGGCTCTTGTCTCTTCGAAGGTCAGTCTCGGAGATGCTCCGCTTCACGATGGCCTCCTCGCCAATGCGTACAGTGATCTGACACAGGGGCCCCGCCTCTTTGATCTGTGTCCCCACAGATGCTGACACCTGCTTTGAGGCTGGGATACTGCTCTTGCTGTGGGACTTGCGTGATTTGTGAAACACTCTCCCCGTTTCTGCTTCCTGTCTGCCTCTCGAGCCCTCCTCTGTGGTGTCTGAACGGTCTTTGGATCTCTTTCTGTGATTTTCGGAGCTGTCCCTTTGCTTTTTGATTGGCCTCGGACTGGCTTTAATTAAAGCCTGACTGCTACTGGTTTCAGGGGACGGGCTGTTCAACAGGCTTTTATTACTTCCAGAGGAAACCTGATTGCTATGCACAATGACAGAGGATGACACTGTTGCCCCGTGAACTATAACGGAGGGTTTTGTATGGCCGTACGTGATCACAGACGGCATGCTCGCTTCTGTGCCTCTACCAGTCTTAAAAGCTTTGGTTTTGCTGCTGCCAGACGTTTTAAAGCTGCCTCTGTCCTGCTCGGACTCTGAGGCCTCGCTCTCTTGTTTTCTCACTTGGGCCACGTCAGTCTGCGTCAGGGGTGTTAGTGCAGAGAGGTCCCCTTGCTCAGCAGTAACAGAAACAGGAAACTCGTCAGGGAAAGCATCAGGATCGGGCTTCACACTCTGAGGGGGGGCTCCAGCGATGAGGCTCTGCAGGTCCTCGGGGCCTAAAGCACAGCCCAGGCCAGGCAGGGAGAGGGAGGGGTTTTCAGCTGGAGGGAGGAGAAGGCCATTATGCAAGCTGTCACTATAGGTTTTGTAGGGTCTCTTCTGGGAGCGCATGGGGAGAAGACGGTAGAGCTTGAGGGCATCAGCTTTCTGTTTGTAGCCCCCGTTCGCAGTCTTTTCACTGGAGATGAGGCTCGGATTGATGCCGTGGATGGTCTTCTGGTGTGTTTTGAGGTTGTAGTAGGTGGCGAAGGCGTCCCAACAGAAGATGCACTGGTACCGCCGCTCCCCCGTGTGCCACACCTCGTGCTTGGTGCGGTACTCGGCCAGGGCGAAGACCTTGTCGCAGTAGTGACAGGGGTATTTGCGCCGCCAGGAGTGCACGTTGGAGTGCCGCTTCAGGCTGGACAGGGTCATGTAGGAGCGCTCGCACACGGAGCAGAAGTAGATGACGTTGCCGTCCACCACCTTCACGAAGTGGTTCTCGTCGCCCGCCAGCAGCTCCCCGGCTGCCGCGTCATCGCCTTGGAGGCGTGCCAGGAGGCTCCTCGCCTTCTTCCCGGGCCGCGCCTTAATGATGTCGGTTTGTCCCATGATCACACCCCCCTCCACTCTCACCTCCCCTTCCTCCAGCGGCTCCTCTTTTGGCTGCACAGTGAGTGGCAGAGGAGGAGGAGGAGGCGGGGGAGGGGGGCGCAGGCTGCTGGACGACAGGCCCGGCCCTCTGCAGGATGTCTCGTGGGACTGCAGCCTCTTGCTGTGGATGAAGACTTTGCCACAGCAGCGGCAGCTGAGGGCGCGGCTGCCGCGATGCAGCCGCATGTGCACCGTGAGGGAGGAGGCCGAGCTGAAGAGTCGATGGCACACGCCGCAGATCAGCTCCGGCTTCAGGCTGTCGGTGGGGGGGTAGGAGGACGAGTGAGGGGGAGCGGTAAGACCCTCGGTAGGCAGGGGAGGCGGCGGCGGCGGTAATGGGGGAGGGAAATGGAGGGTGGGTGGGTGAAGGCTCGGTCCATGGGGGCTTCCTGCTTTCCCAGCTGGCCTCCCTGTCAGCTTTTCTCTCCTCTCCGCCTCCCCGCCCCTCTGATAGGCCGACGCGCCCAGACTGAAGAGGATCTGGGCCGTCTGGGAGGGTGAGGCTGTGCCGTTGTACCTGTCGCCCCACCCGTCGCCACCGAAACAGCCGCCTAAAGGTCCGCCTGAAGACCTCGGGGGCGACCTGTGGATCTGAGCCTCCGGGTTGAGTTTGGAGCATTTCATAGGAGGCGAGGATTTCACCTCCTTCCTCATGAAGGCGGGAACTCTCATAGGGGAGGAGGAGGGCGAAGAGGATGGAGAGCTGTCGTGTCTCGGGGCCTTGAAATGTCGGTGCTTTACGTCGGTGGTGGCGTCCAGCTTCCACAGCGACCCCTTGTCGGAGCTCTTGGATGACAGTCGCCGTCGGTGGGGTGAAGGAGACGAGGAAGAAGAGCTGTGACAGTGGTTCGGTGAGGTCAGAGACGTGGGGAGGGGGGCGGCATTGAGCGGGAAGCTCAGGGTGATTTTGGCATTCTTAGGTCCGTCGCCCATATCATCCAGCTTGTCCTCCATAGTGGCCTCTACGCGACATCCGAGCCGTTTCCCCTTCATGTCCAGCTGCTCCGCTTTCCCCTCCTCAGACCGAGAGGCCACGCCAGGACAGCGGACAGGGTCGTGTAGTCCTTCAGCCTCGCTCCGGCTGTAAAGGCTGGCAGGCGAATGTGAGTCCGAGGAGGGGGCAAAGGTGCTGAGTGCTCCTAACAGCGGTGCTGGGGAAGACAAAGGTGACAAACGCTGACTTCGTTGGAGTGCAGGGTTCTTGACAGCGATTCGGGAGGAGTCGTAGACGGGACTCAGGCCAGGAGCCTGGTGCTTTTCGCTCAGACGTGGATGAAAACGGCCCGCGTGGTGGGGGTCCCACGCCTTCTCACCGGACACCATGACCAGCCCCAGAAATCTGAAAAAGAACACCGGAGAGAAACTAAAATTAGGAATAAAATAATGATAATAAAGAATATTAAAGTGAAGGACTAACAGTGTAAATACTTTCACACAAGTAAAACTCTGATAGAAACGCTCCGTTTTTCAGGGAAACCTCAAAGCGAACTCAATGCCCCAGCGAGGCTGAAGTGCTCTGCCAGGAATGGTGAGTGAGAGGAGGTAGAGGGCAGGGGGAAGGAATGAATCTGCGGCAGCGCTGCTTTAGATTTCAGCTTGCCAAAGCCAAGCGTTCAGAACCGCATTCCAGCGATCCACCCATCTCTCTTTCTCTCTCTGGGCTGTGACACAACGACACCCCCCCCCCCCCCCCAATTGGACAGTGGTTAAATTTAATCAAGATTCTCTCAAAATAGTGTGCTCGTTCAGATTTTGTGACCTACGTAAGAATAGTGAAGCTTCATTCCTGGCAGCGGCGAAACTGTGCCAGGCAGGATTCTAACCGTTTATTTGTGAAGGAGGAGGGGAGGAAAGACGGGAGGGAGGGAGGTGGCACGCATGACGCAGGGTATGGGTGTTTTTCTGCTCCCTGCTTCCGGTCCAATCTGAGCTTTCAAAAAAAAAAAATAGTGTGCAACTGACTGTTTCCAATCTGATTTCATGTTGGTGCAGCGGCAGAAACTAGATGTTCGTATCAGTTTTAGTGCCGACTCAGATGGCCRGGAGACGGGATGAGGCCGTAATGAAGTGACGAGAAGGGGCAGGAAGGGGGAAAAAAAATCCTCAGTCATGCTTTTTCTGTCTTGGTTTTCAAGCTGCGACGCTGCTAGAAAGGCAGGCCGCTGTAAAATTCCACAGGCAGCCCTGAACAGGCAGAAACTAGGTCAGCACTGTTATTGCAGAGGAAAGACGAGAGAGAGARAGAGAGAGAGAGAGAGAGAGAGAGAGAGAGCGAGAGAGCATGCGGGGGGGGGGTAAGGATGAGGGAGAGCGAAATGGTGACAGAGGGTTAGAAAGAGAGCAGGAGACTGGGGGGGGGGGCACTGAAACAGGAACAGTCAGGAGCCCTGTAAACACATACATGCAGCCCAACATACACTCTGACACGCTCACAGGCTGAAGACACGGGAACAAACAAACTAGTTCAACGCAGACAGACCCTTTTGTTGATGATATTCAGAAGTGAAAGGTGAATCTAAGTGCAGCACGGCCTGCTGCTGACTACAGCTGAAGTGACATCAAGGGTGTTTTTATTGACAGTCAGTTCTATTCAACACCTATGCCTAAAATAGAACAAAGACGCCCAWTCCTGGCCGTCCGGGCCTGCCACATTTTGTCGCACAGTTCCAATGCAGGCCTCGCGTTTTGCTGCTGCGCAGGAAATCCCTGATGATGGCGAGCGCCAGCCTGCTAAAAGTAGGCGGACACGCCGGGAGACTGAACTAAAAATTTCACCATCTCGTCTCGTGGGGTGCGTGCGACGCAGACAGGAAAATGCGTAAGACGCCTCCTTGCTTTCTTTCTTTTTTTTTTTTTTTAGAGCTCTTGTGACGCACGGAGCCTCTGAACAGGCAGAGGCTGCACGACGCGCCGTCTGACTGTGACAGGCAGCTTTTAACAAGCTTTAAATGTGCAGACTTAAAAAGATGTGGAGGGAGAAAATAAAGCAGAAAATACTATTTTTTTCTTCTTTRTGTAAAAGCCTCAACACATATTAATCTGTCTGTACAGCTCATGGACACAAAAACATATGTGAACTCTTAAAGTAATCATATAAATGAAAGAAAGAGAAAATCAGCACCTCTCTGCAACAGGATGTTCTGCACAAATAAACAAGGTGGTTAAAATATGAAATGTTCGTCTATTTAGGCTTRTGGCACTGCAAAAACCACACGGCGAGAGCGGAGCTCGCAGATATCGCAGGACAAATTATAAAGCAGGCTCTCGTAAACATACAGCACGTCGCACATAATGCATGAGGTCTCACAGGACAGACGAGTCGCCGAACTTCAGGGGAGAAAACGGTGGAGCGCTTCAAACATGAAGTTTCTGCTAAAACAAAACCCTTATGCCAGACAGCCTTATTCTCGAGTCCCAAGCTTTTGCTTCATGTGAGTTTTTTGTTTTCTTTAWCTATTTAGGATTATCAGAACCTCTTAAACACAAAAACCTTAAGGACAAAACATAAAAACATTTTATTTAAAAGATGCTAGGGTCTCAAAAGCTTATGTGTATAATATTTTTATTTAATTTAAATTTAGTAGGAGAAGCTTCAAATAGGTTGAGTAGTGACGGTCTGTTTTTCAATGAGTAATATCAACTGTGAACAAAAAAAAAAAGTACCAATTAGACTTGTGTGATTCAACAGCTTCTGTATTCAACAAAAAAAAAATTGGTCTGCCCAGTTCTGGCCCACATGTCTTTACCTGAGAACTAACTCCTGRCCCAGATGCTGCACAGAACGATGACCCTTTGATGACCCRKATGCAGTTTGTCAGAGGTGGTCAATGCATGGCCCAGAACCACATAAACCAAACAGCAACAGAGCYAGTTGTAGTACTGACCGATTTGGACCATWTATACCAAACCACCGTTGGGCCAGTTAAGGAATGCCATCACGGGTTATCAGTAAAATACAGATATCACACATATCACAGTGTGGCCCAGTACTGGAGTCGAGCTGGCACTGCTGGGATGACAAGTGGTTTATCAACCAGATGTGGGCCAGCTCTGGCAATGATGGCGCTGTTTGAAGGATGGCATGCCACAACTGGCCCAGTTGTGGTTTGGTTTATGTGTTGTTGGACCATGCATAAACCACCTCTGGCAAAACCACATCTGAGCCAACAAAGGGCCATCATTCTTTGCRTATCTTGGCCGAGTGTTAAGGGTGTTTGTTTTATGTGGGCCAGGAGTGGGTCAGACAAATTTTGCTATGTMGGATATTTGACAACAGAATAACAAATCTCCCAAAAATCTGTTATGGTTTTGGTTTTGATGCCACCCAGCAGTGATGGGCACAGTCCCACTAATCAGCTAATAGTGGAACTAGCTTYTYATTTAGCAGATTAGCAGTTTTGCTAACTTTGAAAGCCACTGGTGGACCAATAAGCTTCTGCTAAATTAGRTGTGGCTGAATTTAGGCCTCTATTATTAAGCCATTCATTCCRAATTTAATAAAAAACTATCCCTCTTACAAGCAGTGCTGGACGTGTCAGGCACCGGGTGTGGAGCATTTAGCATTTTTAGCAGCTAAACTTCAAACTGAGAGCTTCAAAAATAAATGAAAAAAATTAAACAATATTTAAATAGTGAATACAAAAATTAACTACATATAAAATATGGTAGAGAAAGTATTTCCCATTTGTTG